CCAATCTCTCTGGTTAACAATGACATATTTTGGACCGTATATTGAAAACAAGTACTTTGCACTACTAGAAAAGAACCAAAAGCAGAGATGCTGAAGGAGACATGGTCCCTGAAGAAAGAACGGGGGCACTTCCTACTGCGTGGAGCTGCACAGAACAACAGACCTGTAATAGTAATAGCAGTCGCACTTCTAAGATGAAAAACTGAATTCTCACGCTGGAAATTGAGAGGAAGAGGTAAAAGAAAAGTGAGAGCTACAGAAGTGTCATCTCCAATATTAATGCACAAATTGCCCTCAAATTCTTAGCTAACCTGCAGGTAGAGAAGGACTCTAAGGACTACCACAGGAATCGATGTAGGAGGAATTTTGTGAAAATAAATTTGGAATTTGAGTCCTGACAAGTTAGAATGGTTTGGCAGATACTTAAGCTTTTGATTTAATGCCACGAAGGCCATGTCTATGGTAATACCAGGACGAAAGATAATGCCTAACACTATGAGAAAAAACAAAAATGAACCTAGCTCAACAAAGCCTAAACACCAAGCTCCATAAAATCAAGTAACTTAATTGCCTGCTAGAACAAAATAACATTCTTTAAAAGAAGACATTATGATACAGTCTCTTCAATGTACTACCCCCAATATCCAGTATACAACGGAACTATAGACATGTAAAGACACAGGAAAATGTGATCCACAGTCAGGAGAGAACAAATCAACAAAGTCAGGTCTACCTCTGACACAGATGTTAAAACCAGTAGACAAAGACTTAAAAATGAGTATTATAAACACACATGGAATTTTCAGGAAATGAAGGACAGGATGAATGGCTGGATACAGAACCCCAGAAGAGAAATGAGAACCATAAAAATAATATGAATGGAAATTCTAGAGCCAAAAATACAGTCTCTGGCAAGGTATTTCAGATGCAATATGTTAGACATTGATTAAGAAAAATTAGTCAAGCTGAAGACAGGCAATAGAAATGATCAAAACTGAAGCACAAGAAAATATATAAATTTATATAATTATAATTTATATAGTTTTATAAATATATATAAAATGAGTAAATGGAACTTTAATGATCTATGTATAAACTGAGTTCAAGAAGAGGAGGAGAGGGAGACTTGAGCATGAAAAAAAATCTGAATGATTAAAATAATGGTCAAATTCGTGGACTGCAGAGGGAAAGAACATGTACTGGTTCTGCAAGAGTGGAGTCAGTGAGACACCAATCCCTTCTGGCACCTGGGCTGGCAAACAAGAAGTACCATCACACACACACACACACACACACACACACACACACACACACCCATAAGTGACCATGACCCACAGAAACACAGCCTGTGGTGATAGGTATTGAGGTGAAATGCAATTGGATACCTGTGGTGCTCTGGTGTTTCACTGGTCTTGCAGTCTAGGGTCAGTGGTCTGATCACTTGTTCAGAGGATAGCAATACACAATGTGGCATCTAGAGGGATCTCCTGAGGGTGGTAGCCATTGTTGATTCCCTATGGTCTTGTTTTGAAGTCCTATATCATTTTCATTGTTTTGTAGGGTTGGGTTTTATTCTTTTGTTTCATTTCATTATGTTAAATCTGAAGGCAGCTATTTGAAAGATAGCAAGACATATTATGGTAGCCATTTTGGATTTACTATTGGCTTGTTTTGAAGTCCTTTATTGCATTCATTGTTTTGTTTCTATTCTATTCTGTTCTGTTTGATTTTTACTATGCCCAAAGGTATCTGCAGCTATTTGGAGACAACAAAAGGCTCTATGGTAACTAGTGTTGATTTTGTAATGTTTTGAAGTCCTGTATCATTTACACTGATTTGTTTTGATTGGTTTTATTCTGTTTTATATTCCCTTATTAAATTATCCTTTTTAAAATAAAAAAATATATACATAAAATGAACTAATGGTCAACAATTTCCCATACAGCAGTGGTGATGAACCTAAGGCAAGCACATTGTTTTTCTTTTAAGACAAAAGATGTTAATGTATGGGTTGTTTTTCTAAACTAAAACCTCAGCATTTAGGTTTAATTGCAGGGTTGGTACTTTGTGATAAATAAGTGTGTTCTGGGTTACAGTTTGGGCACTCATTTCTTTTTTCTTTTCTCTCTCTCTCTCTTTTTTTTTAAGACAGGGTCTACTATGTAGTTCAGGCTGGCCTTGGACTCACTCTGAGGCAGGCTGGCCTCAAACTTGCCAAAACACTCCTGCCTCCACCACTAGAGTGCTGAGATTATATGTGTGTGCCACCATGGCAGGCCTGGGTACTCATTTCTAAAAGGTTTGCCTCTGTAGTCTCAAATTTAGTGGGAAAAAAAATTCCCAATCCAATGATCTAAAAGACTCACAAACCACACGTAAGTACATCATAATCAAACTGCCAAAAGATACAAAAATCTTTTTTAAAAAATAAGCCAGAGGAAAAAGATTCATTGTGTAACAGGAAATAACAGCAAGGAAGGCAGCTGACTTCTCATCAGCAGCAGTGTTGGCCACAGGACAATGGAAAGCCATTTTACAAGTGTTGAAATGGGGTGTCAGTTTGGAATAGGTAAACCTTTAAATGCCAGTAGGACTCTGAGGCAGCAAGATGCAGCAAAGCGGCCCGTCCCAGGTGCATCTTACACAATACAGTATACACATAGTTCCTCCAAACACATACTCTTGCCATGTATCTAGTATCTCAATAGAATGTCCCAACATTTCCAATAGAAAAATTAACTGCCCCTGTTAGAAAGGTGATAAAACATGAAAAGCATATGAAATCCTTTATACAAATTGTGGTACATATATTTAGATCTTTTGTATTTTGCTACTATGTAAACATCATGCATTTTTCATCCTGGTAAAAACTAAAAATGAAAGTGAAGATTCTTTTCTCCTCTGAGGCTTTAGTCATCTGACGCTTGTGTTCCATAGCCTGTGGAAAGGTGAGGTGGAGCTCCTGGAAGGGTGTGTATGTGGTGGGGGGTGGCTCTGAGCTCTGGGAGCCAACTTAGAAGTCTGAGGGAGATGCTCTGGGTGGCAGGGGAAGAGTGAAGCACAGGGGCAGGAGCACTGCCTGCCAAAGGCCAGGCTTTGAGTGCATTCTTTCATTCAATCCTCACACTCACCCTGAGCATAAGGTATTATCATGTCTGATTTTTTATAACTGTGGAAACAAAATTTCAAAGAGAATAAGAAAGTTGTTTAAGGTCAGTGGCAGGGCTGGGATATGTACCCAGTTCTGACGATTGGCAGCACAGCTATTCACCCTCCGCAGCCGCAGTCATCAGTTTTGTCTTCCACTGGGGTCATACAACAGGACTGTCCTGGGTTCTCAAGGTACTCACAGCCCAGTGAAGGAAGAAATAAAACTTGTTTCACCTAACAGTCGTTGAACTATGCACTAACACATGTGTCATATCTTACTCAATTTCACAATAGCCTTGTGAGACAGATATTTATGTTGTCCTCATTTTACAGTGAAGGAAGGTGAGACTCAGAGGTAGTAAGTGGCAGATCTAGATTTGACTTCAGAGATTTTTAAGCTCTTCTCGGCATGGCATGTGACTTCCTGGAGCTACCAAAGGGGCAGAGAGTTGTGAAAATATGGGCAAGATCCTGGTGTCCTTTCCCCTATCTGATGGGACCTAGGAAAAGAGAATGTTTATAGAAACCAGTGGGCTTGTGCTGTATGTGGTCCCAGAGGGCAGGATGGTCCCAGGGACTTCCTCCAGACCCAGGGCTGCTGTGGCACCATCGCCTCTTTTGCCAGGATGGTTGACTGTGTGACCAGCTCCAAACCCTAGTCTGTGCCTCCCCTTGGGCCAGTCTCCACTCAACAACCAAAACAAAGGCAAGTCTCCACACTGTATGTTCAAAACTTTTCAGTGGCTCTTTCAGCTCCCCTTCAGTGCTCTGTACAGTTCCACTGGAGTAAGGGTCTGTTCCCATTACTGCTGCTGTGTAACGTCACCAAACTCGACAACAGCCTGCAGCAACCATTTTGTTACACTTTTGGAATCTGCAGTTAAGGAGTTTAGACATGAAACAGTGGACTGGCTTATCTCTGCTCCCTGACTTGTGTGGCCCCAAGAGAAAGACTCTATTGCTGACAGTAATATAAGCAGTACTTCCCACAGTTCAAGCACAGGGATGAACCTATGCCCTGGGGCACCTGTGGGGCTTGCCCTCCTCTGATCCCTCAGAGCCTGGTCTGACAAGCTGAGGAGTCTGGAGAATGCCTGTGTGGTGGCATCTGACACCTTTCTTGCTCTCCTCCATGAACTGCTGTGCTCCAATATGGCAGCGTCTCCTGAAGGCTCCAATGGGTCCCAAGCTTTGGTCCTAGAAGTCTCTCCAAATCTCAGCTGATGAGACCCCAAAGGCTGGGCAGGGTCACATAGCAGAGGCTTAAAGTGTGAGAGCCCAGCCTACACATCCTGCAGCATCTCTGAGCCTATGCAAACCCTCAAGGCAGCCCTGTGAGGTAGACTGCTGGTGGTAACTGACTCACTGCTGCAGGGAAGGGAGACGAGAGGTGATCTGGGGATGAGTAACAACTTTCTCCATTGCACCCTCCCAGCCTGTGGGCCCAGCCACTATCTCATGCAAATGCTGCCAGCTTCTGTGTGCTCAGCCTTGGGCCTCCTTCCTCAGGGTTTGGAGAGGAAAACGAGGGAGCTGACAAGACTGAGGCTATGGGGTTGAGCTGTGGCTGCAGATTAGAGCTGTGGGGCAGTGCGCAGCAGGAAGCGGTCAGGAGCCTGGCTGCTGTGAGCACAGCTGTAGTGGATCTAAACTGTTACCTGAGGCAAAGGGATGCACTCAGCCTCTGCAGGGCGCCCTGGAGCTGCCCAGGCTTTGGGGGGGCGGATGAGCTAGGGAGTGGAGTCAGCCAGGCAGCCTGTGCCAAGAAAGGAGGGGGCCGCGGAGGCTGCCAAAGCAGGCGGGAGGGGCCGGGCCAGCTGGGGCTGGAGCTAGTGTGACATCACTAGGCGGCCCGCCCCTGTCTGGGGCTGAGGGGAGGCCTGGAGCCTTTCTGGGGCCTGGGGGATCCTCTTGCACTGGTGGGTGGAGAAAAGTGCCTGCAGCCAACCAGGGTCAGGCTGTGTTCACAGTTTCCTCTGGCGGCATGTAAAGGCTCCACAAAGGAGTTGGGAGTTCAAATGAGGCTGCTGCAGTCGGCCTGAGGGATGGACCCGAAGCCCTGAGAGGTACTGCCGTAGCCCCAGACCTACAGAGCATGGCACTGAGGCAGCTGCCCGGCCCGCTGTGAGCAAAAGCAGGTTGCGATCAGCCATCGCCCCATCCCTGCAGAGCTGGCTGCAGGCAGAGCCGGCAGAGGCCAGTGAGGCAGTGCTGCTGGGCTGCCAGTGCGGCCTGCGACTTGGGTTCCTTCCTAGAGTCCATGGACAGGCTAGCCCGCTGACGGCCACCGTGAAGCATGTGAGGAGCCACCCTGGGAGCCAAGCAGGAGGACGAGGTAAGGAGCCAGCTCTTTGGCAAAAGGGGCAGGGGCAGTCGCAGCAGTTGCCCCTCTCCCCCGTGGCTGGGGGTTTAGCCACTCTGAGCCCTCCAGCTGTGGGATGTGTGCAGCTGACCCACAGGGGTCACTACTGCTTTCATTTGGAGTTGCACAAGGATGTACCAGTAGCACTGTGAAAACCTGGGCAGGGCAGGGCTGGGTGCAAAGTCGTGGGCTGGGAAGTTGAGGACTTCATCAGTGAGCCCCAGACAAAGAGCCTTTGGGGTGAAGGCAGGCGGCTCCTGGTTGCGCAGGAGCAGCAGCAGCTGGTGTGTGTGCGTGCATGCGTGCATTTGTGTGCGCGCGCATGTGTGTGTGTGTGTGTGTGTGTGTGTGTGTGTGTGTGTGTGTGTAGCTGTGTTTTGGGAGGCCATGGGCTGAGAGTTTTGACTGCAACAACAGGGTAGTGGAGGGCTTGGCAAGTGTTGTTAGGCTTGGGGCTCCTTTGCCTCTAGGATGGAGAACTCGCCAAGGCAAACGCAGAAGCAAAAGCAGTCGGGAGGCAGCCAGGCCCTGGCCCAAAGCTTCCCGAGCCGGAAAGCCTTCACACACATCCCTCCAGCTGGTGAGGAGAGGCGCCAAGGCTTCCTTCTGCCTGCGCTGGACAGGACGTGTCACTCACAAGTTTCTGCCACTGTGACTGGGGCAAAGTGCTGCCCTAACTTTCCCTCTATGCCCAAGGGTGCCTGACCCCTCCTAGCACTGGAGGGCCCCTGGGGTCCCTCACCAGCTGGACCTGGCTTCCTTGGTAGCCTGGCAGGGATGGTGCAGTTACCACATACCAAGTCCCTTGAAAGCCCTCATGGTTAGATAACATTTCCAAACAGAAATTCTTCACTGATCCTTCCCTCTGCTCTGTGATATGTGTGTCATGGGTCAGCTATTGCCTCTGTGTGGGATTAGGAGAGCTCCCAGGGGCCAGTATGGTTACTCAGAAACCGATCTCTTTCCACCAGGGCTCTGAGAAAAGTTAAGAACGCCACTTCTGAAGCAGGCCAATTGCTCCTCACATGGATTTTTCCAAGTGCAGGCAGAGTGGGGTACAGGTCACGAGCCGGCTTCAGGTCTGGGTTCTTCTACTTACTAGCCAAGCAGCTCTGGCAGGAGTTAGCCTTGCTAAGCCTCGTATGTGAAATGAGACAATAATACCCACCTCAGAAACAGCTGGGCCAGGTGCCCACCAACTCACAGAATCCTCACAACCACTCTACAACGTGGACACTTGTCCACCTGCACTTTATAGGTGAGGAAACTGAGGTAGGAGCGGAATGCCATGCCGTGCCAAAGTCTGTGTGGCTCGTCCATGCTGCACTAGGGTTTGACCCAGTAGGGTGGCATCAGGGCTTTTCTGAGCCACACACCATTGATTTTTAGAGGGAACACGTGTGACCTTAGTCACATCAGCAGAGTGCCTGATGTGCAGCAAACACTTAGAAAACATCATTCACCAGTTTTTGTGAGCCGTAACAATACGAACCACACAGAGGGAAGCACAGGGACCTAAGTTCTTTCCCTGTTGTAGACACACAGAAGAACCCATGCTATGGTTTTCAGCAAAGTTCCAGCAGGCAGAGCCAATTCAGTGGACACTACCACTGTCTTCTGAGGACTCTGCTCTGAGCAGAGAACTATGGTGTGTCTGAGTCCCCGAGGTCCACACTAAGGAAAAGTATAGACACAGGGACCAAAGCCCCCAAACCTGCCCATCCTACCACCCCACCAGCACTACTATCTGCTTGTTGGCATCCTCCAGAACTGCAGGGGACAGAACACAGGGCTTCCTCCAAGCTGCACTGGGACCAACAGCCAGGCCCATCCTGGAATTGCAGAAGGAGAGGCCACAAGGTGCTGCCACCAAGCCTGGCCATGGTGGTAGATCTTGTGCCATGCAACACTGATGGATCTGAGCCCAGGACAATGGCTGTCCTGTGGCTTCAGGGTTGCAGGGGCTTTCTGAGCTCTTGGGCATTTTGAAAGCTGCTGTGAAATATGTGCTTTTCTAGCACAGCCCTCTGGGGCTGTGGAAGACACAGATTTCCCTGTTGTGGCCTGGAGCATGATGGTTCCTGGTCCTCTTGCTGGCTCAGGCTTTCACTGAGACTGGCCAGGTGCTCTGCCTGACTTCCTGGGACTCTCGAACAAAAACTGATTAACTGCTTCTCAATAAAGGCAGTCTCAGGGGAACAGACACAAACATGTAATATACACATCCAGTGGGGCACCGCCAGCACTGCTCCAAGTTTGCAGGCAGAGTAAGGATCTCACAGTGACTTACAAAGTATCCAGGAGGCTAAGTGAGACTCGTACTTAGTCCCATTTCATCCTTACCGCAACCTTAGGAGGTAGGTTCTAGTTTTAACATTCCATTTACAGATGAGAAAACCAAGGCTCAGAGAAGTTACCCTGCCCAAAGGTCAAGTGATTATGTAGAACTGGAACCCAAGGCTGTTTGACTCCAAGCCTGGGTTCTGTCAGCTAATCCCCCTGCTTTGTTCATGGTGCCTCAACTCCTCTTATCCCGATGCTATCACTGGGTCCTTGCCCTGTGTCCTATGCAGCTGAGTCTGCCATCGTTGACCTACAGGTGCTGTACCACCCTCCATGTGAGACCATGTGCTCATGGGTTTTGTGCACAGCTTGGTATCCACAGACACCCACTTGTGACAGAGAAGAAGCACAACTGTTTTACCTCTTACAGCCTGGGTACACAGTGCCACTCTCCTGACATCAGAGATCTGGCACCAGCTTCTGGGGGCAGGGCCTCAGGGAAAAGCTTGTCTGTGTCACTAGATGCCACTTATTCATTTTCAACACGCCCTACTTGGAGACTCCTTTAGGGGTGCAGAAGTGGAGCTCACTGGGCGGCCTGGAGCAGTTCCTGAGACAGCATGGGAGAGATGGCACTGGTAGTACAAAAGAACAGACAGCAGCCCTGCCCAGAGCAGGTACCTTCAACCTCTGGCCTTTTGAATCATAGCCCATTTAACGTGGAATGTTCCCAACTGACAACCCATGGGTTAGGGTGGGGCTCTGCCGTGAGAGTCCATGGCCCAGCAGGATGAGCCAGGCAGATGCTAAGTGACAACACAAGCACACAATAGTATGACCGCCTGTAAAGAAGAGGCCTGTGGGGCTGAGAGGGTCCTCAAGATGGGCAGTACTGCCCCATTTCACAGAAGTGGAAACGTTTTACAGAAGTGGAGGCCTAGGGGCATAATACCTCTCCCATAGTCCACAGGGGCCAAAAAGCAAGCATTGAAACCCAGACCCTTGCTCACTCTAGCCCACCCATTCCAGCCTGCACAAACTGCAATGCAGAAGCCTCACGAAAAAAAATCAACACACTGAATAGCAGATCTTTTCTTGTCTTTTATAAAACACCCTAAATAGAAGGATTATTCCATCATAGACATCTTGGAGTTTGTGGTCATACATAGGTTACATCAGAAACCTCACTTGGGGGTGGTTTCTATGACAAAACTATATTCTTCATAGGGACTGTGAGTCTTATGACTGATTTAATAACAGCTTGGGGGGGAGTTTGGGGGGGTCAAGATATTACAAAGTCATGTTCCATGTACATATCAATTGTGAGACACACTCTGGTCTCAGGAATGTTAAAATGTTGGGTGGGAGAACCAGGCCTCTGACAATTGAGCCATTGTGTCAGGTCTGTTCCCTGGTGAAATGAGCCTATCTTGGGGCCAGCAGCCTGAGAGTCTTGGTCCCCTCTACTGCCCAGTCCTCAGGCATGTGGGTGAAGGCCACTGTGGAAAATTCCAGGAGGAATTCTGTTATGTTCCAGCTGCCCAAAGTCCCACATGAGGAGGTCCCACTCCACCCTCTGCCAGGGAAGGCCGTGTGTGCCTCAGTCATTGCCAAACCTCCAAACCCACCCCAGCCAGGCAGAGAAGGGATATGTGGAATGAATGAGGCCCTGGAATGATGAAGCCACTTGGAAACCTCAGAGCCCACACTTACAAGCTAACTAGCCTGTCTGTTATGGTTTGTATCTAGATGTCCTCCCAAGGCCTTATGTGGTCATAGGTGGAGCGTTTTGGAGGTGGCAGGATCTAGAGTGTGATGCTGGAACTCAGGATGAGATGCTAGAATTGATTATGGTGTGATGCTAGGACTAAGGGTGCTCTGCCTGAGTATAAGTGCTACCTACCCTAAGCCTGGACAGAATATAAGGAAGAGAAAGAGGGCTGCTGTGGTTACTGCTTGTAGCTTGCTGCCTTTTCTTCCTACCATGTGCTGTTTCTCCTTGGCTATACCACCCTGTCTTGGAGCCAGTCGATTACAGACTGAAGCCTTTACAGGATCTGAACTACAATAAATCTTTCCTCCTTTAACTTTGGGTGTTGGGTATTTTGTCTCAGCAATGAGAATGTAAGCAAGACACTGTGCCATCAGCAAACATCACAGCCCCTTCCTTGCTGTTCAGCCAGGAGGCTCTTCTAGGGCACCTCTCTTCCCCTGCCGCCTCCCAATCCCCAGCCTGGCTAGAGTAGGCCCCACTGAGCCACCATATCTGGGTGTCATCCCAGGGATTAGTACTTGGTACTGGGAACCCCTGGTGGATACCTCCTCTCTTTCCTTTTCTCTGCTCTACCTCTACTCCACTGCACCCCTATTCCTGTGACTGAGGAAACACTCGGGAAAGTAGAATGAACACAATCCTTGAGCTCCTGTTTATTAGCCTTGGTGCCATCCTGGGTCTTGGGCATTCAGAGGGGAATCTGCTCTCAACCTGCTTGTAAGAAGCTTACAATATGGGACAGATACATGGGCAGATAGATGCAGTCTAGGCCCTGCATGCTGGGTTGAAGGCAGCTATAGCTATTCTTGCAAGCTAGAAGGAAAGGACCTTACTGTAAATGTGTGTGTTCACAGAGAGATTACCGTGAGAGAGAGGCCACCTTAAAAAGAAAGACAGGCATGCAAGGGGTGGGGCA